TCTCTCCTGTGACTGATCCCAGGGTCTTCATGACCCTCACTCTGCTAGGCCTTCTGGCCACAGAGCAGAAGTCATCGTGTCTCCTTCCTGCTCCGGAGTGGAGTGCTGTTCCCTCACGCTCAGCACGCCCTTCACCTCCCTGACCGAGTGAGCCTTCCATAGTGGCTTTGGGTTTTCAGTCTTTCATTTCTCTCTTAATCGCTGGCACATTACCTAGCACCTACCAGGCTCTCAACACATGTTCATGGAATCAATGAACTTAAAGAAGACTAAAGATGCAAAATACTTCGTGGGTCTTATGCCTTTCAAATGGCTGTTCAGAAATTGGTTGGAACATGGAAACCATTGCCATAGAAACACGCCTAGGTTAAACTGGAAATTTCAAGGTTGCAAAGTGTGACTCTAGAGCTCACGGTTTGCCCCTCAAAGCCAGTTTAACCTAGGAAAGGACAGGATCACCTTCTCCACCAATGGAGATACGCTAAACATGGGAAGGCAAGCCCCTAGTGCTTTGGGGCATGCAGGGCACTCCTGGGCTCTTTCCTTAAATAAAAGTCTCTGAAACAAAATTCCCTTCCTACACCTTTGAGCCTGGATGGCTGCAGCCTTGCGGATTCCTGAGATTCCTCTAGGCACCTTTCCTGTGGTCCCAGGGTAAAGCACTTGGTTTCTTTTTATTGGCGTGAAATAACCAAAACTGCCTGGCATCACCTTTACGTGTACTCCTTTTCTGGGCAAGCTGTAAGTTTTCCAAACCTTTCTTCTCTGCTCCTCTTAGTTTGCACAGATTCTCACCCTACGGCTGGCTAAGGGCAGCCGGCAACACCGTGCTGCAGCCTGAGGGCTTTGCAGCCTGCAAATTTCCTCTGCCAGGTAAACTAGTCCATCAACTTTAAATTCAGCTTCCCACAAAGAGTCACGCACACGGAGAAATGCAGCCACATTCTTTGCCATGGTGTAACAAGGATTGCCTTGGGTCCAATTCCAGTAGAATCTCATTTCCATCTGAAATGCCCTCAGCCTAACCCTGGAGTCGCCCATTAAGCCCTATGTACAGCATTCGAGGGGTTTTAGCTTGCTCCTCCAAACTTTTCCAAATCCCTCTGTATACCAGTTTCCAAGATTTCTCCACATGGTCAGGTATATCCCAACGGCAAAGACCCCTCTTTTCAGTACCAATATTCTGTGTAAGTCAGTTTTCCATGAATATAATAAATGCATCAGATTATCAACATATAAAGAAAAAAGGTTTATTTTGGCTCATGATTTTTCAGGGGTCTCATAGCCCTGTTGCTTTGAGGCCTGCGGTGAGGCGGCAAATCATGTAGGAGCGTGGGGTGCAGCAGAGCACTCACCTCAGGGCCAGGAAGGGAGGGAGAGAGAGAAATGAAGAGACCAGGTTCCACACTCCCCTTTAGGAGCATGCTCCCAGGGACCAAAGAGCTCCCCAAAGGCCCCACTTGTTAAAGTTTCTACCACCTCCCAATAATGGCAACCGGGACCAAGATACATGGGTCTTCATGGGACCCTCAAGATCCAAACCATAGCAGTGGGTGCTATTGCTGGGGAGAAACCAACATGGTGTAAGCAGGGGAGCTGAGGGACAAGTGGATGGATGCATGGGCAGATGGATGGGTGAGTGGGTGAGTGGATGGGTGGGTGGGTGCATGGGAAGCTGAACGTGTGGGCAGATGAGTGGAAGAGTGGGTGGGTGGATGGTGTCATTTACTTCCCCACACTTGTCCTCCCACCTTCTCATGCCAATAGGATTTGTAGGTTCAGAGAGTCTTTACTCTTCTTTTTTTTTAGAAAAGAAGTCTTTTTCTCTTCTCTTTTTTTTAATTGCTTCTTTAGTTATACATAACAGTAGAATTCATTTTGATATAATTGTACAAGCATGGGATATATCTTATTTTAATTAGGACCCCATTCTTATGGATGTTCATGATGGTGGGATTTACTATGGTGTACTCATATATGTATTTAGGAATATTATTTTGGATTAATTCCACTGTCTTTACTTTTCCTATTTTTCCTCCCTTCCCTTCATTCCCCTTTGTCTAATCTACTGAATATCTGTTCTTCCCCTCTCCCACCTTATTTTGAGTTAGCTTCCACATATCAGCGAAAACATTTGGGCTTTCGTTCTTTGGGTCTGGCTTATTTCACTTAGCTTGATAGTGTCCAGATCCATCCATTTACTGGCAATGTCATAAAGTCGTCTTCTTAGTGGTTGAGTAATATTCCACTGTGTACACGTACCACATTCTCTTTACCCATTCATCTGTGGAAGGGCACCTAGGTTGGTTCTATAGCTTGGCTATTGTGAATTGTTCTGCTATAACACTGAGGTGGCTGTGTTACTGCTCTTTCTTTCCTAGTCTTCATCACCCAGGGCATGCCTCTGATAGTCATGAGGTAAGACATGAAGTGGGAGGAGTCTGGGAGAAGGTGGGCAGGTCAAGGTAGAAGCAAGGACCGCAGGTCGAATGCCTGCTGTTGATTGCCACCATCTCCTGAACCCTCCCTCTCCTTATCTGCGTCTTCCTGCTGGCCTCCGCACCATTCTCCTGGAGGCCCTGCCTCTGTCCTCACTGCTTCCCCCCGGCTTCTGCAGTATCGCTCCAACTGGGTGTTGGCTCCCTTCTCCTCTCTCTCTCCTTAGTTTGCAGGATCTCTGAAGACAGGGCTGTTTTTGTTTATTGCCTGTTTTGTTTGGTCCTCACCCCCAATATCTGGCACCATGCCTGGCACCTTCCAGAGAATGCACGTCTGTTGAGTCAATGACCTGACAAGTACACAAGTGCCTCAAGTCAAATCATGGGATTTATACTGCACTTGAGAGCCTGCAGTAGGTCCCAGGTGGTAACTGTGCCCAGTTCCAACCCGGGGCATGCACCTCGTGCTTGAGGTGGGGTGGGAACTAATACAGAGCTGGGTTTTGGAATTACTGCCTTTGCTAGAAGCAGCTGTTCTGGGAGGAAGCCGGCCACTAAGCTCCAGGGTTCAGTTTTGAGTACCACATGGAAGGTGTATGACAGACAGGTCAGGAGCCAAGGGAGCATGCCTGTCACATGTCACAGAGTCCTCCAGAAGGACAGCAGTGGTGGGTGGGAGGCCTCACCTAGGAGTGTCCAAGAGAAAAGCAGTTTTGGGTGCGATTCTGAAAGCACAGTCTGATTTGGGGGTATTTGTTATGAACTGAATGATTCACCCTACCCAAATCCCTATGTTGAAATCCTAGCTCTATGGGATGGAACTGGTTCTGGGAGGCAATCAGTCCCAGGGGGGCCTTGTGAACGGGACCAGTGTCCTTATGAACAGGCCCCCCAGCCTCTTGAACCACACGTGTGAGTGTAGGGTGAGGAGCTGGCCATCTGCAGCTGCTGCAGGAGGCCCTGGAAGAGGGTCTTCCCCAGGACAATGTGAGTCCCTGGTCACCCATCTAGTCCCTGGCACTTTGCTCTACAGCCCCACCTGAATGAGACCTAGTTCTGCTCCTTGCCTGCTGAGTGGTGGGGGACTGGTTCTCTTCTGCACGGCTCTGGGTTCTTACAGGCTCTAAAGCAAGGAAGAAAAAGCTCTGGATGAAGTGCCTGTCAGAGCCCCCGAGAGACAGGTGATGTTAGCAAGACATCCCAGCTGCCTGATTCTTTTCACACTTTCAAATATTAAGATAGTTGCAAAATGTTCGAAGCCACTTAAAGGTAAATACAAGTCCAAAACTAAAAGCAAGTCTTAGAACCTTGAGCAACTGCACACTCCCCGGTGCTTGCGAGTTGCTGGTAGCTGTCTGGATGGAGGCATTTTACATCCCTGGGGGTGCATGAGATCTTTGTCCCCGATCCTCCACTGTCCCCAGGCTGAGGTTGTGCTGTGCTCTTGCTCGACACAGCCGGGGGCTCCCTACTCTGAACCAAGTCAGGGAAACTGCTCTTCCTTACTTTGGTTTGGGGAAACATTGTCAGCCCATGATTTGTTCTCAACTGTAGGGAAAAAATCCTTTCACCCTGTGGTCAGTTTGGAGGGACCTGTGAATGGTGGGAGCCACCCCATTATGATGGGCCTCCAAGGTTCTTCTTAACCCTTGAGCTTCTGAAAGGCAGACCTTTGATAATGATCTTTCCATTAATGAGCAGTGGATTCCAATTTAAAAATGAGAACTTTGATCATGGTCAACTGGGTGAAATTCACATTTGAAAGCATTAATCATGTGAGATGCCATAGAAGTTGGTCCTGGCGTTCTATCTCCTGGCTAGCTTGGTAGAGAAGAGATTTCTAGACTCGACTTTGGAATAGGTTGGATATTTTTTTTTAAAAAAACTGAGACCGTCTGGACAATGGGGTGTGTAAATCCGTGTGCGTGGGTAAAGAGAGTGGAATTCAAAACAGTCACCGTGAAAGCTAGGCAGTGGCAGGAAGGGTCAGCCACCTGCCCTTGCAGGTGGTGGTGGTCGTAACAGGCAGGAATGAAAGCACCAGGCAGAATCCCGCCTCTTGGATGACACTGATGGAGGAGTTCTTCTAGTGACGCTCTGTGCTTTATTAAAGTTCTCAGCTCTCCTGCAGCAGGAAGAAAAGAAAGGCTTCCAGGATTCTTGTATTTAAGTAAACAACCCTGTCTTTTCTTGGGTCCAAACAGAGAAAGCCCTAAGGCCATTCAAGTCAACACTGGGAGGGGAGGGTGGGGAGTCATTTACCAGCCATGAGCCCTCAGGCAGGTGGCCCCCCTGCGGCTCCAGCCTCAGGCCTCAAGGCTCCCCTGGAGAGTTCAATGAATTAAAGTATGTTAAATTTTTAGGATAGTGCTAGGCATGGAGTCAGCACTACTGTTACAAGTGTTTGTTCCAGACTCTCATTGGTTGGTGTGTGACTGAGGGAACCTTAGATGTTGCACCCCGGGTTTCAGCCATGTGAACAGGCAAGGGTGCTCATGAGCCTGCAGGGCTACGGGAGAACACAGGTGTTTACAGGAGATCCGGGCTGAGCAGAAGGGCTTGTCTGGCTGGGATGAGAATTACCATCATGGACCAAGATGTTGAAGTGAAGACCACTTTTCCCTCCTGCAGATGACTGTTTAATTTAGCAAGTGTTTTACGAAATACCTAATTATCAAAGCAATGAACAGCTATTTTAGAGAAGTTGGAAAACATAGGAAAGCACATTAAAAGGTAAGATCATTTATTAATGTCACCTGAAAAGTGGGGCTCAGTGCTGCAGTACGTCACCTGTGTTGTGTGTACAAGAACGTTTGTGTGCCTGTTGTCCACCTCTGTCTATCCATGTCTAGTGAGGAGTGAAGCTCTGGGTGTACAGGAAGGAAACGGGAGGATGTCCTCTCCCCAGAGCTCCATATTGCTCCAGGAAGACACAGTGCTGCAGCACCCTTGTTAAATAACAGGGAAAGGTGTCCTCCCATCAGACAGGCTCAGGCTAAATAGAGGCACCGGGAGCTGGGGGTGAGGCTCAGTGGCAGAGTGCTTGCCTAGCATGCACCAAGGTCCTGGGTTCAATCTCCAGTAAAAATAAATAAGCAAACAATTAAATGAATAAAAATAGGCACCAGGGAGAAGGGGAGAGGGATAAGACCCAGGACTGAGAGGCTGTGGATAATCCAAATAGAAGGAGAGCTTCTTTTCTTCAGCAGAGCTGCACTTTAGTGTTGGTGCTGGGCTGTGGGCGTCTTGGGACATGGGACTTCCCATGTGATGCTGGGAAGGCACCAGTATTAAGATGCAGTGAGAAGAAGGCCGCCCAGCTGGAGTTCTGGCAGTGGGACAGGAGCAGAAGGGGTGTGTGTGGATTCCTGGTTGCGTCCTTTACGAGGGAAGATGTCCGCCCTCCATTTGTTTAGCTTCCAGGTCTTGGAAGTGGTGGTGGAGCTCCTGACCAGTGCAGGGTTTCATTGGGAGCAGAGAGAGGTTTGGCAGGATGAGGGGGACGCAAGTCTAAGGCAGCTCTGCACACAGGGACGCTGGAAGGAGAGAAGACAGCCATGCCCGTCCAGCCAGTGTGCTTGTGGCCGTGTTCACGTGGCCCAGCAGAGCCACCTAAGCAGCCACCGTGGGCAGGTGACACGGCCACTCTCATTCTCGGAGGGGAGAACAATGCCCAGTCCGCTCTCCTTGCGCCTGGCATTCGTAAGCCCTTATTTCAGAAGGAGGAAGCCTTTTCCTTATGTGAGAATTTAATCAGTCCTAACATCCTGGCCACCCCTGGCCATCCCTGGCCATCCCTGGCCACCAGCCTAGGAGAGGCCTGGACTTGGGGTCCTGGCGAGCATTCCTCTCACCTGGTTTCCCACCAGAGCAAGCTCATGTGCAGGATGGTTGAGCTCAACCTGTAAGTGGCGGCCCTGGCCCTTCAGTGACCTCTTAGTGATGATCAGGAGAGAAGTGGCCCCATGATCTTCTGGGGCCTCTTGCTTGTAGAAGCTCAGCCCATTCGCTGCTCGGGACAAGGTGGTCCATGGAGCCTGGGGCCTTTGAGCTGTGGCACATTCAGGGCTGAGGACATTTTTCTGGTGGCACGACAGGAAATAAAGGATGCTGAAAGGTGTCTTCATGAGCTCCCGGTGACTTCAGCATCCTTAGGAATGGTCTATGCTCAGAATAGAACTTAAACGGCTTTAAAATCTCCTTGCAACTCGGGCTCTGCTGGCCTCGCTGTTTCTCGAGGGGTAAAGTGCCCTTATTAGTTTCTGAAGAGAAAGAGACGCCTCCAGGGGATCACCTTACTAGGAGACCTACTTCTTTCCCCGGTAATTGAAGAAGTCACAGCATGCACCAGGAAGATTAAGGCTTGTGTAGGAGGGAATTAGAGTTTTCTTCTCTTTCTTTTTAAAAGTACTGGGCTCTCGTGAGGTGCGACTGAAGCAATATCGTGTGCTCATTCTTCAGCCACCGTCTTGGAAGGGAGCGACTCCTTTACCATCTTGATTTTTGGGGGTCACAAAATCAAGCAGCCTCCTTGTATGGAGTTTAGAGGAGCCTCGTCTTTGGGGTACCTGCTGGTCAGAATGTTTTATTCACTTGAATGCACAAGAATTAATATCTTTGCACATGAGAGCACACCCGAGTGTCTTGTAAAGAAGTTAATATTGAAGCTCCTTTGGTAATGAGGAGGAGGCAAGTACTTTAGGGCCAGCTTTGCTCAGAATCACATCACACCACAGAATCCCCACCAAGCACCTTGGAGGCTTCTGGGAGACCAGCCCGTGGCTGTGACACTGTGGGCCCACGGCTTACTAAATAAACGCCTATTTTTAAATGATGGCTTTAAAAGCACTAGGAGCTTCACGTCCAGAGTGAGCAACTTGTGGTCCCTTCCTTCTTGGTAAATGGCTGGATGTGGGTATGGCTAAGGTGTTAGGGGACAAGAATATGACTCACTGACATAATCCAAGTGCAGTGAAGTGCTAACCCTGCAGCTCCTGGGATGGAAATGTCTCTCTGGAATCGTTGCTCTTAGTGAGAGGAGACAATTAGGTATACATAGGTTAATAATGCAGAAAACAGATTTCTTTCAGTATTTTTTAAAACAGTTTAATATTTATTTTTTAGTTTTTAGGTGGACACAATATCTTTATTTTTTTATTTTTATGTGGTGTTGAGGATCAAACCCAGCGCCCCGCACATGCCAGGCAAGTGCACTACCACTTGAGCCACATCCCCAGCCCTCTTTCAGTATTTTAACATTGCCTTTTAGTTATGCATGACGGTAGAATGAATTATAACATATCACACATACATGGGGTAAAGTTCCCATTCTTGTGGTTGTACACGGTTGGAGTTTCTCTGGTGGTGTGTTCATACATATATGAACACAGGAAAGTGAAGTCCAAGTCATTCCCCTGTCTTTCCCATTCCCACCCTCCCCCTTCCCTTCATTCCTTTGTGTCTGATCCAGTGAACTTCTATTCCCCTGCATATTGTGTGTTAGCATCCACATAGCAGAGAGAACATTCGGCTTTGGACTTTCATTGATGAATTTAAATAGGTGATTCCAGTCAAGTCAGCAAATCTGTACTCAATATATAACGGTGTGTGAGAAAGTTTTCCCAGCCTCTATGAAGTGACTTCAATCTGAGGTGAACAGGGCAGCTTTGACCAGAGATGGGTGTGGCAAGGACCTTACTGGGTGTAGATGCTCTTAGAATTCTCCCAGTGGAAAGAAGGCCGAACCCGTTCTGCTTTGGAGATGGGAGAACGGTCAGCCGCAGGTCCATCTGCTGGTGGACCACCTTTCACGCTCCGGGGTTGAGGAGGTCCTCAGGGGTGTGTTGCCATCCACGGGAGGAACTTTGGAGGAACACTGGATCCAGAAAAGACTAATCCTGGTGAAGTGGCCTATTAGACCAGGTATTTATCAAAATGTTTTATGGGGGCTTTGGTTCATTATTTTCTGTTCTCTGTACTACAGGGAACATTAGCTTTCGGAACAGGTCATTTTGAAAGTACGCCCTGGATAGGACTAAGGCTTTATAGATGGCCTCTGGTGGTGCTGGCTGCCACACACTCTCAATTTAGAAATAAAGCAGCCCGTGGCCTCATATCCAATTCATGGAATTCCGGGCCGGCCGAGGCTGAAGTTCTGCATAATAGGAGCAGCGGACTGCTAGGAGCAGTTTCTGTAAGCAGGTCACTTGTGAAGCCGCCTATTGATTGGACGGTTAGTTATGGCCCCATAAAACCTGGCAGTGGTCTGCATTTTCTCCTTCTGTCATTTGAGCCCTCAGAGGAAAAAGAGAATTTGGCATATGGAGAGGAATTTATAAGTTACCTTGAAGGGGACAGGGAAATAGGGAAAGCAGTACTGATTGTGCCCCATTCGCTCCCACACTCAGACCCTGTTTCACAGGCCATTACCCCGTAAGCTTCAGGTGACTGATGGAGAATGTGTGATGTCAGTGGAGGGGGTCTCGTCTTCCAGATTGCCGTCTGCCTTTACTAGTCGATAAGAGGAAATAGAGTTGATCTACTATTTCACAAAGAAAACTTCTCACGACCCTATCACCTACTCTTGCCTCTAGCTGTGCCGTGATATGCAAAGTGGAGATCAGGCCCAGGCTCCCGCCTCTCGTTAAGAACACGGTCATGTTAATCTTTTCTTCCTGCTCTTCCTCCCTGCTCTGTTCTTAGTTGCTCTCATTATATCAAAGAAGACATTTGGTATTTGTTTTTTAGGGATTGGCTAGCTTCACTTAGCATAATCTGCTCTAGTGCCATCCATTTCCCTGCAAATTCCATGATTTTGTTGAGGGAAAGGGAGAGAAAAGGGAAATTGCATGGTAATGGAGGGAGATCCTCATTGTTATACAAAATTACATACAAGAGGTTGTGAGGGGAATGGGAAAATAAACAAGGAGAGAAATGAATTACAGTAGATGGGGTAGAGAGAGAAGATGGGAGGGGAGGGGAGGGAAGATAGTAGAGGATAGGAAAGGTAGCAGAATACAACAGTTACTAATAGGGCATCATGTAAAAATGTGGATGTGTAACCAACGTGATTCTGCAATCTATATTTGGGGTAAAATTGGGAGTTCAAAACCCACCTGAATCAAATGTATGAAATATGATATGTCAAGAGCTTTGTAATGTTTTGAACAACCAATAAAAAAAAAAAAAAACAATTGCAGGATTAATTAAAAAAAATAAAGGTTAGAGCAATACTAATATTAAATATAGTATATTTGTAATAGTATAATAAATACATTCTGATTAATTATTAAAAAAAAAAGAACACAGTCATTCTCAGGTGGAATTACGCGGCCTTAGAGTAACAGCTGTTCCTTCCTGTGCACGTGTGACCCAGGCCCACACCTTCACCAATCACACACAGCATGAAGAGAACCTGTGACACACAGATTGGGGGAAAGCAGAATCGTACCCATTAAAGTGATTTCTGGAATAGAACTTTAAGATGATGAAAAAAAAATATTTCCCTACGCAAGCACTTGCTCTGGATAGAACTGTTTTTCTTTTAAAAATTAATTCCTTCTCTAAAAAGTTAATGTGAAGAATTTTTGCTATTCTCTCTCTCTCTCTCTCTCTCTTTCTCTCTCTCTCTCTCTCTCTTTCTCTCTCTCTCTGTGTGTGTGTGTGTACTGTATTTGGAGAGATGAGGGAGATGGTCCTTCATTTAACAAAATGCCTAGTGAACTCGTAGGTGC